TAAGCCCTTGAAAAACATAATCTTGAAACCCGTATGTGGTTTTAATATGTTTCAAATATCTCGACAATGTTGTAGGTGAAGGAAGTACAAGAATTTGATCACATCTCAGTTGTTTATACAGTTTTTTGCTTTTAATACGAAGCAAAAGGCATTCGTATATCCATTGAGTAGTGTATCTCATACTGCGTATATTTTTCAAGCGTGATGCTTGAAAACAAGCTTCAACAACCATTTGTTGCCTATTCGGAAGTACCGAAATTGCTCTCTTTAAACTCGCTTCATCAGATAAAGCGCATCTCTTTTTTATGTTTTCTACATTTCTCTTCATGTTTTCAATCTATAATATAATTTTTTTAAATCTCTAATTACACTTAAATATTAAATTTTACATATGGGGCATATTTATGTTGGCCAAAAAACTATTCGTAACTAAAATTATTGAAAAATCGCACGCAGAGAAAATTGATATTAAGTTTTGTAAAATTATTTTACAAATTAAGGGAAAAGTGCAACAATGAGGAATTTTAATATAAAAAATATTACTAAAATTTAGGAAAACTTATAAGAAATTTAGTAAAGTTATATTAGAATTTAATCAATATTTTTGATATTTTTATATAAATATATTAAATTTTTTATAACTTTTCTTAAATTTTAGTATTTTTTATATTAAAATTTCTCATTGTTGCACTTTTTCCCTAATTTGTAAAATACTTTTATATGATTATTTATCATTACTTACTGTACATGGTGAAAAAAAACTTGGAGCTTTTCCACATTTCAATTGCTCGACAGATCCAGAATCGCACCCTTTTATAAAACAAACACTCTTATTATAATAAATAATTATAATAAATAATAAATTACATGAAACGAAAAAAATTTGTCTCGATATTTTATTTAAAAATGTAAAAGTTTTCTTTTTGATTCGAAAGAAAAATAAATGAAAAACTTTTTTTTTAATATAAACACCACGTTAATAACAAACATTTCAGGACTATACAAAATTTCAATTTTCAAAAATTAGAATACGATAAGTATGAGTACCATTTTTTTCAAGTGAGGCGCTGTTGTTCCATCTGGCGTACAGATCGAGATCTCTGACCCCCCAAAAGTGAGATAACTTTACCTACTGTTAAAGCATGGTCGTGACGTCTCCTTATTCTACTTCGTGATTACATCAAATAGAAATAATTTTACTATAACTTTAATTTATTATTTAATAACATTCTAGGTAGAAAATTTTTACTACCTATTACCGTTTCCAGTTATTCTGATAAATTATTATTTAACAAATATATAAATTACAAAATAAATGGATTAACACGAATTCGTATGAAAAAAGTAAAACAGAACTATTATTTATTCTAACACATTTCAAGTTCATGTGAATACATAATTATTCTTGTTAACTAATATCAAATTACAGACTAAATCCTTAAAAGTAAATTTTATTTTTTATTTCAAAATAAAATTCCAATTTCCTAATTTGTCTATTTCTAATTTTTAGTTCCAAATTTTAGATTTCGAAATTATATAGTGAATGTTTAAGGGTTATGTTTCTCCAGCGCAGCATTGCTTTATTACTGGTCTACTACTGGTCGGAACAGAAAATCCGTACTATTACATTACTGATTTTCAGTACGAAGCCCAAGTCAGAGGCGTTACCTCCCGATGTTGGACACGTAATAGGCCAGTATGAAAGTCAGTACTGGTTGTTATTTTTCCGTACTAAACCAGTAATATGCCTATCGTCAATTTTTACCTGGGTTATTAAAAGAGATAAGTATATTCTTAGATGAAATTAAAGATAGAAAGAGATAGGTGTGGATATTGAAAGTATTAAAAGAGATGAAATAAAGGTTATTGAAAAAGATTTATACAGAAGGAGAGATAAAAAGTGATTGAAGTGATAAAATGGGGATAGACTAAGATAGAGAAACTTTATCTCTTTCTATCTCAGAGATAAAAAAATATTTAAAGAGATAGGATTTCTATCCCTTTACTTCCAGCAGGGAATTCATTATATTTTAAAAATTCCTTTTGGATTATCATGTTCAAAATATTTAATTAAAATTCAACAAGAAATTAATTAGGTTTTTTTAAACATTACAGAAACTCTTTTAAGAAATTCAATTGTTTTCTAAAAATTAAATTAAAATAATATTTTTAAAAACTACTTAATTCTTAGAATTTTTTATCATAATTTTTCAAGATTTAATTATTTTCGAATAAAGCAAATAAAAATGTACTTTTTTGGACTTATTAAAATTTCGGACAATTCATGGTCATATTTATCATTAATATTCTTCAAAAATTTGATTTAAAAAGCTTGAAAAACAGGGACTTTTGAGTGATTTTTTACTAAAGGACACTATAAATACTAAAGGACTCTATAAATTTCATAGAAAAAATGGTAGGAGAAATCTGAAAAAATTCATTAACATTCCTTAATATCTACTTTCAACATATTTACAAATTGTTTTTAAAAAAATTTTAAACAATTGTTTACATATTTATTTTTAAGGAGAAGTGCAATTTTGGCTTGTAATTGTGATAGAATTTTCAAACAAAATTAAAAATTTTTTTAATAAATTTTTTATTCTAAATTTAATAAAAAAATTATTGTATAAGCGTAAATTTCTTTTATATTAACAATTCTTTTTTAAAATTTTTTTTAAAAGTCACTCAATAGGGAAAAGTAATTGATACCCTCCGAAAACACAGGTAGAATTGTTTCGTTTATGGCTATGTTATTTTTCCTATTTTCAGGTGCCATGCAAAAAAAAGGCTACGCTGGATAGCAATCCTTCCAGAAGTTCAAGGCTGTTATTGAAACTTATTGCCCTCTTTGCAAAGGAAAAAAAAATTCTGAGAAAAAGAATTGTTAATATAAAAGAAATTTACGCTTGTACAATAATTTTTTTATTAAATTTAGAATAAAAAATTTATTTAAAAAATTTTTAATTTTGTTTGAAGTTTCTATCACAATTGCAAGCCAAAATTACACTTCTCCTCAAAAATAAATATGTAAACAATTGTTTAAATTTTTTTAAAAAACAATTTGTAAATATGTTGAAAGCAGATATTAAGGAATGTTGATGAATTTTTTTAGATTTCTCCTACCATTTTTGCTATGAAATTTACAGAGTCAAAGTGTCCTTTAGTAAAAATCACTCAAAAGTCCCTGTTTTTCACGCTTTTTAGGGTTCCGTACACCTACGGTGTATCGGCGGAACCCTATTGGTGAGACTCTGTTGTCCGTAGCCAAATCGTGTCCCCCCCCTAGCGGCTAAACTATTTGACCTAGAGAGCTCAAATTTGGTACAGATATGTATTTTCACACGTAGATTACAGGAAAAATATAGAGAATGTGTTTGGAGATGATGGTCATAGCGTTGTCAAGGAAATAACAAGATTTTTGGCCAAAAATACATAAAAAGTGACCATCCCCCCCCCCTTAACTTCTAAACTATTCAACATGGAGGGCTAAAATTTGGCATACTGGTGTATTTTATCGTGAATATTACAGGAAAAATATAGAGAACTTGCTATGTATTAATGTCCATAGCGTTGTCAAGGAAAAACTAAAAAAAATTTTGAAATTTTTTTTCTAATTTCTACATTATTTGATCTAAGTAACTAAAAATGGGTTTATTAGTCTATTTTTACAGTCTGATCACAAAAAATATATTTAAAAATCTAAAAAAAAAAAATTAAAAAAAATTTTTTTTTTTTAGATTTTTTAACAAAAATAGTATATTACGATACTAGGCCAGAAAGTTGGATTTCCTGGCCGGCGTGATATATAAGGCCGAGGCGAAGCCGAGGCTTTATATATCACGCTCGCTAGGGTATCCAAATTTCTGGCCGTGTGTCGTATACAATTTTTCTGTATCCCCAGCCGAAAGTACGTTAAATAATTATTGTTTGAATAATAAAATAGCTCAATAAGTTGCCCGCCCGACTTTTGCAAAGTCGAGGCGAAGCCGAGACTTAGCTGGTCGGGGCAGGCATGAATAAAAATTATAAGTAAAAAATAATTGTAAGTAAAATTTAAAAAATAGTAAACAAGAAATTTTCTTTTACAAATAAATATTTAATAATTAAAAAATAATAAAAGAAAATAAGAAATTTCATGCATTATTTTGATGACTGTCAGTTGTTTTCAAAACGTGAGCTCTGTATGTAACGTGTCTGTGTGGTTGCTATGCTAACATGTACGTGTGTTGAAATTCTTGTAACCAATCAGAGCGCTCGTTGGGTCTGTCGAGCCGGCCACAAAAGTCGCTATTCCCGGAGCCAAATCAGACCGGGAAGACAGTACTTTCGGCAAAGGGATACAGAAAAATCTTTTTTTACATTTTTTAAAAATTTTCTACAAAACTTTAAAAATAAAACAATAAAAACAGTAACAAATTTTGTTCCTCTACTTATTATTGTTTACAATATTAGATATATACAATACTTTAATTTTTTTATTTATTTTTTTTATCAAATGATATTAATATATTTTTTTAATTGTTTATTTTAATTCTACCAATTACCGATAAATGTTGCAAGTATTGTTTTAATATTTGTGTACGGAACCCACCATTGCAGTGCGAGTTCAACTCGCACTTGTCCAATTTTTTTATTTATATCTTTGCAAAAAAAATTTTTAGTCATATGATATGAATGGAAATTATATGAAGAATAAAATTATCTATTTCGTGCATTTTGTCTTGTTTTATAGAGATTTTTTTCTACTGAGTAATATCAATTTTTCTCTAGGGTCAAACATTTTTGAAACACATAGTAGTGTATAAGTAAATAAATAAATTTGCGAGAAATCGTGAAATTCTTACTACAGGCGAAGTTACAATATAAAGAGTCAAAACTATGTTTATTAAAATTTTCCAAAGTATTTCTTTTATAAAATTTGATTGTGTTATTAATTTACAATTAATATCAGCAAGTATAAAAATATATTTAATATTTTCGTTTCATTTTTCTAATAGGTGTCTGCAAAATTTATGAGGAACACTTGAAAAGGCGAAACCCTAATACTCCTACAATAACTTATGACATTAGTCAGCTGTTTGACTTTGTCGACCAACTAACGGATTTATCTTGTTTAGTGTATCAAAAATCAACTAACACATACGCCCCTTATAACAAAGGTTGGATAAAAGACAAAATATATGTTTTACTCCGACGAGCTGCAGGTCACTGCGAATGATTTAATTGTAAAAGAGGCATACTTTTATCATTATAATTAAAGATGTAAAAAGCAATTACATTTTCATAAACATTAACATTAACCACGTATATTGTTTGTTACTCTTACATTTTCATGCTAAGTACATAATTTTATATTCATATTTCTTTCTTTCAAAGTATCATCATGTACTTATAACTAGTATGTAAAGAAAATTTGAACCATTCTTGTGTGAAAAAATATTAATAAAACAATAAATTAAAATTTTGTCAATAATATTTTTTAAAAATGTACTAACTGTAACTTGGAAGATTAAAGTTTGTAATTGCATATTATAAATTTTTCAATGATTTTGTATGGAATTTTTCACTTAAAGAAAAGATAGTAATTAAAATATTACTTAAACCTATTCAGTATTGCCCCTCTGTATGCTACGTCAATACATTTTTTTCATTTAAATAAATTTACAAATGTGCGATATACAGTTAGAAAAGGGTAACAAAAAAGAAAATTATATCAAAAACTAATTTATGTATTTAACTGTAGTTTCAGTGATGTTTTTCAACATAAAAAAACATGATGTGATTTGCACAGATTGGGTTTATACTGTATATACATATAATAGTAACGAACTGAAGTTGAATTAAATTGTACTATTATAATAAAAATATTACAAAGTTATTCTGCATATATTGGATTTAATTAATCGGCAATTGAAATTTTTGTGTAATTATAAAAATGTTTTTTATTTAACCCCTTCGCAGTCAACGCCTCAATCTTATTAGTGGACCCAAAATTTAATAACTTTTTGAAAAACTAAAACTTGTGCAAACGAATATACAATATTTTATTTGAGGTCGCTGATTAATAATATTTTATATAATTTTAAGGTTACTTCTTTATTTATTTAGTATATAAACGGGCTTATATTATTGCCCTTTCGTACAATGTACTGAACAATGAGAGTCTTATGTTACGGTGGGTTTGAATGAAGTTCAACCCAAAGATGCTTGCGTATCAAAATTTCATTCTGATACCTTTTCTAGGATGGCCCCTGATAACTTTGAGCCCAAAAAGAAAAAAATCGCTTAGGCCGTTTTTGAAAAAACTCATTTTTTGATTTTTTGAAAATATCAATTAACTTTTTCTCTAAGAAAGTAAATAATAGTAAGGTTATTATAGGTTTTAATTAATTCAATTAACATAAGTAAACGGTCCCTAGGTGCTGAATATATGCATCAACTAAAACGCTGTAAAAAATCTAAAAAAAAACGTTAGAAAGTTGGTTTTTAAGGGGAATCCCTCATAAGAAGTGTGCAAAATATGTCAAAATTCAACATTTTTTTTCTCGCTTATTTTATTATAAAAGTTAAAAAGCCCTTTTGCATATTAAAAATTTTATTTAAAGTATTAAAAACAATAAAAAAATTATATTTTGTATTATGTATTAAAAAATTTTTGTTTTCAAATTTTTTAGGCATACCCACTAAAAAACATATTTTTTAACAATATGCAAAAAGAATTAGACAGAAACATCCATCCGTTTACTTAGAATCCCTGCAACCGATTTAAAAAACGTCGTTTTTAGAAAAACAAAGTTAAAGTTTAAGTACGATTTTTTCAGATTTATTGTTAAATGGTTTTTAAAAGATCTTACCAAATTTTAATTTGCTATCCTAGGTCAATAAAGTAAGTTAAAAGCATTCTGCTAAGCCTTTTTATGTTCGTCGCGAGCCTTTTTATTGTCAAAAACCATACAAAATTGAGTAATTCAATGTATTTGTCCAAAAATATGAACTGATATTTATAATGATATCTCGCGAACCGAATAAGATTTTTTAACATTTTTGGTCTTAAATTAAAGATAAGACTTAAAGGATCACATCTATATAAGTTTTAAATTTTGTCGGCAATTTTTAAAAAATATGCCAAAGTTTAAAAAATTGTCAAAAAACATTTAATTTTTTAATTTTCTTTTTCAAATTTGTCGATTGTTAAAATCTTTGTGTAATTTCTTAAAATTTTAAATTGTATATTATTTAATATAGAATATTATAAGCTTTCAAAACGGTATATTTCTTAAGTTTCTGACATTAGTTTTTACAGGAATATCATGATTTAAAGATTGGTATGTTTTTGGGCCATGCGCGTGGAGCCAGTCTGACGGTAGTGTGATGTACTATAACTTTTGATAGGAGCTAAATTTTGTCATAAAATTTTAAACCTTTATTCTAGAGATATTGAGGATTTTAAAAAAGCAGCAAAAAAAATTCGAAGAAAATTTTTTTTCTCATGAGTAATTCCCCTTAAAAATTACTCCCTTCCATTGCATTTTATAACCCGTTAAAGATCCTCACAAAAATTAAAGCTTATGAAAATATCTATAAATTGCAAAAATTCAATGATTTATCTTTAAAACTGTCGAAGTTATGACCATTAAAGTATAAAAAATTTATCAACAATAAATTATTTTCTTTTTATTTCTATAACGTTACATTTTTAATATTTTTGGTATTACGATGTTGTATTAATTAATCACTGGCACTGAAAATTTAAAAAAAAATCAATATTATTTTGAAATAAGAATCTTATTACAAGCGTCATATATGTCATTTGTGATTTTCATAATAATGTAAACAAGTTGTCCATTTCATGATCATTAAGCTTCCTCAATATAATATATACCAATTGTTTAATTTCTTATTTTAGAATAATTATTTTAAAGTGTTAAGATAAAATTTTAAAGAATACAAAATTTCAATTTTTTGTGAAAAATTAAAATATTTATTAATTCTATAAATTTTGATAAAATATATACTTTACATACATGAATCGATTCGTTTTTATGTCAGGAATGCAATTTTGACAAGAATTAATAAAAATTTTAATATAGAAAAAAGTTATTTCAAAAAATCCAAAAATTAAAAAATTGTTGAAAAAAATTTTTTTTTAGATATTTTTGAAAATCCTTCTGTCTGATTTTTGGTATTCGTGACCGTAATACACCTACAAAATTTTATCAAAATTCATCAAGATGTGTAAGAGAAAATTTGTCCACAAGAATCGGTGACATTCACACACACACATACATACACACCCAGTAAAAAAAATTTGATACATGGACCGCGGAGTTCGTATACGAGCTCGGTAGCTCGTATGAGAAATATGAGAAATCTCTCATACGAGCCTTTTCCGTAATGAGAAGTGTATAGATGCTTGTATACGAGGTGACTTTTAAAGCATTTTTCTTAATATAACACTATTTTAAAGTAAATGTAGATAATAGAAATGAATTTTCTCATCTAAAACAAAGCTAAATTCATAAGGGAAATGAAGTTTTAAGAAAAAAAGAATAATTTTGTTCAAAAAATTTATTCACACTGAAAAAAGGTTACAATTTGATAATTCCTTGTTACTCTTACTTACCGACATTAGATATTTCTCGGATGCGGTAAGCACGATTTTGTATTAAATTTAATTATTTTATATAAGAACATTTATATAATAAATAAATAATAATATATTATTAATTAGTAATAAAGAAAAACTTATTAATTCTACCGCTAATACAAAATCGTGCTTACTGCATCCGAGAAATATCTAATGTCGGTAAGTAAGAGTAACAAGGAATTATCAAATTCTAACCTTTTTTCAGTGTGAATAAATTTTTTGAACAAAATTATCCTTTTTTTCTTAAAACTTCATTTCCCTTATGAATTTAGCTTTGTTTTAGATGAGAAAATTTATTTCTATTATCTACATTTACTTTAAAATAGTGTTACATTAATAAAAATGCTTTAAAAGTCACCTCGTATACAAGCATCTATACACTTCTCATTACGGAAAAGGCTCGTATGAGAGATTTCTCATATTTCTCATACGAGCTACCGAGCTCGTATACGAACTCCGCGGTCCGTGTATCGAATTTTTTTTACTGAGGAGTGCGGCATCATTGAACCACCCGAAAAAGCAAAGAATTTTCAATTTTAAGAGTGGTATAGTTGTCTGCTCTCCTAACTAGTAAGAAAAATACTGGAAGACATGCTTTCATCACAATTGTCAACATGATAAACTTAAATTGTCACTTTTGCTACCTAACCTGACATCGAAATATATTAATCTCCTAGGGTAAAAGTGGATATTATCGCGGGTGTGGGTATTATCGCGGTATTTTATATTTTAATGAATATTTCAAATAATATAACAAATTTTTGACACTAAACAATCACTCCTTGAACCTGACAACTAAGACATTATAATATGCATCATATTTTTCATTATTTTTCTATTAATCAATTTATTAAAAATGTTTTAAAATTTGTTGTCTAAAAAAAGTTCAAAATGGCTCACCTTGGTTTGAGATTCAACTCTACAGTGGTGACAAAAATTATTGTTTTTATGTTCTATAAAACTCTAAGAGATGATTCTTTTTTTATATTTTGGTAAATTTATTGTTATTCTTCATAAAAAAAATTTGTTTAGTTAAAAAAAATTGATTTTTATCAAATATTTACAGTCACGATAATATAGACATCTTTTTTTTAACATGTGGGTATTTTCGCGGCTCCTATCATAACCCTTGAAAGTAAGGTTAGCAGTGTGTCTCTAAAGTTTAAAACGTTGAAATTATAGCCGATATTATTTTTGCTTGTTTTAATTTATATTTTAATAAAAGTACTTTGTATATAATATAAAAAACTTTAATTTTCAACTAAATAAATGTTGAATTAACATTGCTTTTCCACTTTGCACAGTAACTGTTAAACACATTTAGACACAATAAAAATTTCGTTTATTTGAACGTTCAGAATTTTAGTAAATCTTATAACAGTTACAAAATACAAGCAAGAAAATAAAGAGTAATGGAAAAGATAAAAAAATTAAAGTAAGTGAGATCTGTATATTTAAGGAAAAAATTTTTAATAGCTATAAAAAAGGAGCAAAAGTGTCAAATGAGAATTGACTATACGTTAGAAATATTTGATAATAATTGCTTTAGAATATTTTATCAGAGTATTATTTTATATTATGAGACTAATTAAATTATTATAATAAAACCAAGTATCTTTCTTCTTGTGATACTAGTTTACTATTGAATTCGTCCATTTATCATAATGCTTAACATTTTTTTTAATTCAAGTTCTTGCGATATTTATATTTTTAAAAACTATATTATTATTCCTTTTAATTTTTTACATTTACTACATTATAATTAAGTAACTATTACAAAAATCCAAAAAGCAATAAATAAATTATCCGCGATATTTACCACGCGATAATACACTCATCCGCGATATTTGACACGCGAAAATACCCTCAAGCCATTACAAGTCCCGCGAAATTACAAGCAAAGGAGTCTTCTATTTAATCATTTATTTAACGATTAAAACTATTTTCTATAACATTGGCAATTTTTTTTTTAAGAAAAAAAAGCTTAAATATTCATTTTAAAAAAAAACAAAGTTATATACATTTATTTATAATTTTTAAACCACTTGGATATATGACGTATACAAAATTCCTCGATAATACCCACATTTACCCTATATTAACAAATAATAACTATTTAACAACAATTTTCTATTTTTTTGAGTGGAAAATAAGATTTTTTACAATGTGTAAGTGGAACACGGAGAAAAATGGAAAAATGATTTATGCAGTCAGTGTAGTACTCCTTTATA